GGCCCGCGGTCAAAGACGATGTCCTCCCATATACAGACGGAAAACCTGCTGGAACATACACTCAGCCAATTCAATGGCGTTAGGTAAATGAGGAAGAGGAACCAGACGACACATTTTTGAAAAACTGTCTACTATGACAAGGATGGTGGTGTTACCAGAGGATTCAGGAAGGTCTGTGATGAAGTCAACAGCTCTGTGGGACCAGGTCTGTGAGGGATTGGCAAAGGTTGAAGCTTACCGGAAGGGAGATGACGAGGGCTTTTGGTTTGGGTGCAGACTGGACAGGAGAGGACGTAATCTCTGACGTCGGATGCCAGTGAGGACCACCAGAACTTATGGGCTAGATGTTCGGTGGTTCATGTAATGCCCGGATGTCCTGACCCCAAGGACGTGTGACACCATTGCATCAGTTGGGGTCTAACAGCTGCTGGTATGTAACTCTTCCCAGCTGGTGTCTCAGGAGGAGCCGGGTCTGAGGTTAGGGCTTCTTGTATGGCAGAGTGAACCTCCCACTGTTCCGGTCCCATAATGCAAGAGGAAGGAAGAATGGGTGTAGGGTCTGAGTTACTGGTCAGAAGGTCAAACTGGCAGGAGAGAGAGCATCAGCTTTTACTTCTTTCTTTCCAGGGATGTAAGTAACATGAAAATGGAAGCGTGTGAAGAGAGCCCAGCGGGCTTGTCTGGAGTTTAACCTCTTGGCCCCTCTGATATATTCCAGATTACGATGATCTGTTAGGACGAGAAAGGGATGTTGTGCGCCCTCCAACCAGTAGCGCCACTCCTCGAGGGCCAGCTTGATTTCGAGGAGAACTCTGTTCCCCACATCGTAATTCCTCTCAGCGGAGGATAACTTCCTGGCGAAGAAGGCACAGGGATGTTATTTTGGAGGTGTTCCCACCCACTGAGAGAGTATGGCTCCTACTCCTACTTCGGAGGCATCCACCTCCAGGGTGAAAGGAAGGGTCGGATCAGGTTGGCGAAGGACAGGAGCTGAGGTGAAGAGGCGTTAAGGTGTTGAAAGCAGTCAGTGCGGTATCAGTCCATTGAAGGGTCCGGGTCTTTTGGCTGGTAAGGGCAGTGAGGGGAGCGGCAGTAGAACTGAAGTTCCGAATGAACCAGCAATAGAAGTTGGAGAACCCAATGAAACGGAGTTCCTTAACGGTGGTGGGTTTGGGCCAGTTACTGACGGCAGTGACTTGGTTCTCATCCATGCTGACCCCTCCAGGTGTCAGTACAAAACCGAGGAAGTTTACGGAGGTTACGTGGAAGGTGCTCTTTTCAGTCTTCACATAAAGGTTATGGTCAAGGAGCCATTGAAGAACCTTTTGTACATGCTGTAGGTGTTCCTTCAGGGAGTGGGAGTAAATCAGGAGGTCATCAATGTAGACGATGAGAAAGCGGTTGATCATATCCTGGAAACCCTTGTTCATAAAGGATTGGAAGACGGCGGGGGCGTTAGTAAGGCAAGACCAGGTATTCGTAGTGCCCTTGTGTGGTGATAAAGTCAGTCTTCCATTCGTCGCCTTCACGTATACGGACAAGGTTATAAGCACTCCGCAGGTCGAGTTTTGTATAGATGTTGGCGTGGCCCACTTGTTCAAGGGTCACTGGGATCAGAGGAAAACGGTTTTTGACCGTGACGTCATTCAGGGAACGGTAATCAATACATGGACGGAGACCACCGTCCTTTTTTCCAACGAAGAAGCTGGACGCAGCCGGGGAAGAAGGATGAATGAAACCGTTTGCCGTTTGCTTCAGCAATGTAGTTCTCCATTGCCTCATTTTCCAGGATAGATAGGGGGTAAACGCGGCCCTTCGGTGGGGACACTCCAGGGAGTATGTCAATAGTACAGTCCCCTGGGCGATGTGGTGGCAGAGTGCAGGCCTTGATTTTGCTGAAGACATTGCTGTACTGGGCGTATTCAGATGGTATGGTGGGTGGCACTGCAGAGGCAGAGTCCTCAATGGTGGTGGCTCTGCAGGGTAGGCTGAGATAACTGGTGAAGCAGGTAGAAGACCAGGACAGTAGTTCACCTTGTCGCCACGAGATGGCAGAGTCGTGACGACAAAGCCAGGGGTGTCCGAGGATGAGTGGCTGTTTGGGGGATGAGAGTTCCATGAGTTGAATGGTTTCGGTGTGGAAGACTCCAATCTGGAGGGTAACGCTCTGTGTCAGGTGCGTAATGAAGCCCGTGCCCAATGGCTGCCCATCCAGGGCGTTAATCCTTAAGGGAGGGGTGACAGGTGTTAGATCAATGTCAAGCTCTTGTACTAGCTGGTGATCGAGAAAACTTCCTGCTGCTCCCGAATCTATCAAGCTCTCTACGTACTTTGTAACCCCCTTCACGGTTATCAATACTGGATGGAGAATTGCTTCTGGGAAATATTTAGAAATACGGACCCGCCTACCTGCATGGCAGTGGAGGGACCCTTATCTCTCCGTGGGGAGGCAAACAGGGCAATGGCTGAGTAGATGATATTTCCCTCCACAGTATAGGCAGAGCCCTTCTTGGATGCGTCTTTGACGTTCGATACACGGGAGAGGAGCATGGCCCAACTGCATGGGCTCTGGAAGACTCGGACAGGATCATGGAAAGAGAAGGTTTCTGGTTTCCGGGTGCCAGAGTTCTTTGGCGGTCAGCGATGAGGTGGTCGATGGAGATCCAAATGCATTGATTTAAATCCTGAAGGTCACCTCTACAGGCCAGCTCCGCCTGAAATTCCCTGTTGAGCCATCTTCGGTAGACGGTAAGTAAATCAGCCTCACTCCATCCACTCCCTGCAGCCATGGTGCGGAACTCGAGGGCACTCTCGGCAGCTGAATTGCATCCTTGTTGAAGTTCTATGAGGAGGTCTCCTATAGGACGACCGGAAGGAGAGTGATCGAATACCTCTTTGAAGAGGATGTGGAAATTGGTCTCGGATCTGAGTTCTGTGCTGTTGGCAGTCCATATGGCGGTGGCCCAATCCAGGGCTTTGCCTGTGAGTAGAGACACAACAAAATCCACCCTGCTCTTGTCGGTGGCGAAGTTAGTGGAGTTGTGCTCAATGTATTTGCTGCATTACATCAGAAATCCCAGGTGAACCGTCATATTTTCCAGGCATGGATATGAATGAAGGAGGGCTATGGGTTACGGTACCTGGCATCGGAGGAGTAGGGATAGGCTGGCAGAGAAGATGGCAGATTTCCTCCATACACTCCTCTTGCTGGGTTAGGCGCCGCTGTAGCTCCGCTGAATCCATTCCGTTTTGGTGAGGTATTCTGTAATGAATACTCAGGGAGAAAATGGTGTAGATTCACGCACAGCAGGTGTTTATTTCACCTTCGCAGAAGGCAGGAATCGTGGTCACAGGCAGGCAATGGTCATACACAGGTAGGCAAACAGGCAGGAGAATCAAAACTAGGACTGAAGGCTAAAACTGATTCTCACAAACGAGCTAAGAAAAGGCTTAGTAGAGTCAAAACGAACAATACCTCACAAGGCACAAACAGAAAGAACTGAATTAAATAAGGAGCTGATGAGACCAGGAATTAGCACAGGTGAAATCAATGAACAAAAATGAAAGACAGGGCTACGTTCAAGAACACAAAGAAACAGGGCTACGTTCAAGAACACAAGGTGAACTAAGAAAATAAATACAGAACCTTACAGCTATCACAAGCTTCTTAACCAAATTGTGTTTTCTGGATTCAAATGTGTCACTTAATCCTTTTCTAAATTGTCCACAGTTATGTCCATATTTTCTAGCCACATATTCTTTACGTTTTGATATACATGAACATTCAGGGATTTATTATGATACTATAATTTTGATTAGAAATGTATAGTGCCAGTATTATTTTGTACCAGGGCCTCGACCCCTGGTATCATATAAACACACATAAGAAATGGCAAACTTTGTAGAATTTCAGGATATGAGCTTTAAAACTGCAAAATGTTCTCTCCGCCCGATGGCAAACGGTGTAAAATTGCAAAAAATTAACTTTAAAATTGCTAAATGTTCTCTCCGCCAACAAGAGGGGTGTTAACAGTTTGAACAGTTTGGGGTCGCATGGGTTGTGAGGTGGGGGTTTGTTACTACGCCGATAAATACAGTGACAATATCCATCCGGACCTTTGTCACCTAGGAAATGTATGTACTTGAGTACCCCAGCCATAGGCTATAGTCAGTGCTATGTATCATAAGGTGGCCCAATCTGGACAGCATGGATCAATTAATAGTTTGATAATAATAGATCAATGAATTGTTTAATTCTTAGAGGATGGATGATGCCAGTGCTTCTGAAAATAGTCATTGATTTTGAATAGCTTATGAATTATATCACCAGAGTAGTTTATCTACTAATGCATTTGAAGATGCTCCAAAAATGACTAACGTTCATGCATATTAACCCAATGTGTCCTATCGTCACACCGGAGTGAATTAGGACTTCTAACCCCTTTTAAACGTGTGTTTGAGCTACAGACTTCTGGGTTGTACTATTGGATTCGTCCACTCCGTCTGCATCCTTTGGTACCAACCATTTGTTTATTTAACAGGGGCTGAGCTAAAGCGATGTTTGTGAAACAAGAGCGGATCCCAAAGGGGCCCGGGGCCGGGTCTTTTATACAAAAACGTCTGTGGAGTCAGAATCGTTTGAGCTTTCAAATATTAAAAGCTATCTACGAACACTCACGTGTAACATGTTTTGCTTTATGACGCTCACAAGCTACAGAGTGGTTAGAATGTAAGGGGTTCTTCTACATAGAAGATCATAGGAAATCCTAGAACAGAGTGTCTATGATACTGTAATATGCTCCAAGCTCCACACAGTTGTCACTGACAAGTTGGATTTTCATTTCCTACTGACCAAACAATTTCTGTACTTACAGCATTCATATAAATTCATTCTGATCAGGTTTTTGCTTTGGCGTACTTGTTTATTTTTTTATTGACATTTGTCAATAAATCTTATGAATGCAACTGTTTATGTCAAATATTTTTGTGTTCTACTTGCAGCCCTGGTTGTCCTGAAAAGAAACATTTCATTGCAAGGCTAAATATTAGGGCTTGACATCAAAGTCAGATAAATGAAAAGCCCATTTCTGCTGGGGTCTCGTTTAGCTGTGCAAGACACATGAGAAAGTAAGACTGTGAATTATGTAATTCTTTATTATCCCTAGATACAGAGCAGTTCCGAGTACATACAACCATTGCGCATTAAGCGTGGGAAATTAACCCTTATTAACTACATTTGAACCCTTACTTGTAACTCCCACATGTTTAGAACCATGACAACCCCCCTAAACAAATAGTTTAGTAAAGATGTAGTAAATCTCTGCCTAACCAATTGATGATGACGGTCTTGTAAAAGCAAAATAAAAACTCAGTAGACTCAAGCCCTTATGTGCCATTCTATGATCATGTAGTGGGCCGCTGCACGCAGTTTGATGACTGCGACAGTAAAGAGTCTGAACGCTTCTCAGAAAAATTTCTTCTTCCCTGGGCACACTCGCACAGGTGCCAGCACAATAGCTGGGCTGTCTGGCACTGGTCCCGGGGCCTCCCTCTTCACCACCCCAGCTACAACAGGTGCGTCCATGCCTACAGCAGGATCGACTACAACCACAGGGGACGCTTCGGTACCTACAGGGACCACAATCACGGGGACCACAGGCACTATGGACTCGTCAGACTCGCCAGACTCGCCAGACTCTGCAGACAGAAGGCCGCTGAGGTCGGGGTCGTGGAGGGCGGTGAGTTTGTGGTGCCTTAGGCCGTGGACCTTGGGGAGGTTACCAGCGTGGACGTGGACCACTGGCGCAGGCACCGGGACTGTGCCATTGGTGTCCACGATGGGCATCTGTACATTAGAACGAGAGACAGGTTGTCAAAGTACTGTGTCAGTGCAATGGTTTGTTTTCATAGATGGCATTTATTGTTCGGTTCAAATAAGATATAGCCTTTATAGAGTATAGAAGAGAAATTAATAACTCTATGACAACAAGTCATCTACTTACCATTGAAGATGCAGCAAATATACTGCAGTCGACTGAGTGCGAAGAACTCACACCTGCAACTTGACAAAAGCCACGTTGCTGAAAGATAAATTAAACGTGGCTTGTTAGCTTGTCACATGGTGGTATTGATTAAATACATTGAGTATGTTTCAATAACCACACTATCATACCACCTAGAATGAAAAAAATGTGTTGGGCGTGCATTCTAAGTGGTATGCTAGTATGGGCATTTGAATGCAGGTTTGGGCATTCCTCCTTCCAAGATATAATGTATACTTACTGCCATAGCATGGGTCAGCGGCACACAGTTGTCATCACTGTCATCAGCGGTGCAGTTAGTCTCTACTATAACGTATTCCGCTAAGTATCTGGCTCCACCAGATACAACCTGCAAACAGAATGGACGTACATAAGGGCTTTCCACTATAGCTTTGTCACAGTTAGTATATGGGAGGAATATGCTCCAACAGAGGAGATAGAGGTACTACATCAACCTGTCTAATGGAGCCCTTCTTCACTTTTATATTTAGGGCTAGTTTCCTGGACACAGAAAAAGCCTAGATCTGTGTGCAGGAAACTGGCCCTTTTTTGGGCATAAAAAAACATGACCATACTCTTTTTAAAAGATTGAGAAATGCCTAAAGACTGCTGGCAACTTGAATGTAACTTTTTTGCTCTTGCCTACATGATGATCATGTGATTAGAAAAAATATGTTTACCTGAGTTGACATGCGTCCAACTTCCATGATTGCAAACAATGACTCTTTGCCTGTCTTATTGTTGAAGTTGATCAGCGAGGCAGAGACCACGGCCAGGCCTGCAGTGTCGTTAAGGGGAAGGAGTGAAGCACAGCCCACACAGAGGTCCTCCGTTGATTCTTTACATGGTACCAGATAGAGAGAGGAGGTGAGTGTATTGGTGTGTGTGTGTGTGAATATATTCCACTGGGCACAGACGTCAATTCAGCATCTATTCCACGTTGGTTCAATGTAATTTCCTTGAGGAAATGTGGTCCTCTGTAGCTCAGCTGGTAGAGCACGGCGCTTGTAACGCCAAGGTAGTGGGTTCGATCCCCGGGACCACCCATACACAAAAATGTATGCACACACGACTGTAAGTCGCTTTGGATAAAAGCGTCTGCTAAATGGCATATTATTTTTATTATTATTGATTCAACCAGTGTGTGCCCAGTGGGATCTCACCTTCCCACTTCTGTGGTACCTATCCTGTCAGTAGCTGTCAGACTTTGTTCACAGAATGTGTTGATTATACTTTGTTTGCCTGGGGAACGTGATTGTGAAATTCACGTTCCTTGTATAATTCATTGTATAATTCACTGGGCTAGATTGAAAAAAATCTGACATGAAGATTGCATACCTTCAGTTTTACACTTGAAAGCTGTGACAGACATAACTCCTCCAACCTTTTTCAGTACCACATCACAATCTCCCTCCACTGCCTAAAACAACAACAAACAACATTACCAATGATCCATCGGAATTAACTACATAGTATACAACATCTGTTTAATAAAGTGGAGAATTGGCCTCACTGTGGCCACTTTCGGTCTGACGGTGCAGTTGGCGACAGGTGTGGGGTCCAGAACATGACATGTGGTCTCCAGCAGGTCCACCTCCATCACGTAGGTCTCTGTTCCATCAGGCTATGGAGCAACACAGGAGAGCATGACTGCAAAGGGAATATCTTATATCTTATATCTATGTCTCAGAGTGGGAGTTCTGATCTAGGATCAGATCCCCCTCACACACACACCCCCCCCCCCCCCTCGTCCATATAGTCTCAATCACTATAATCTAAAAGGTGAGACTGATCCTAGATCAGTACTTCCACTCAGAGATAACCATGAATGCAGCTCCAGGGCTAACTGTAGAGGTTAACACAAGAAGAAGAAAAAAAGGGGCTTTGTATCAAAACGTGTATTTCTCCTTAGATGTTGGATGTTCAGACAACACTAGGGTAAACAAAACCGAAATAAAAATGTGTACATTTTTGTTTGAATCATGTCAATTTTATCCGTCTCAAACATCTGCAAAACTGTAGACTGGTAGGACCTGGGTAGTTGATAAGATAAACTTGAAAATGTATCTTGTCTTTACATTTACCTTTTTTAGTCATTTATCAGATGCTCTTATCCAGAGCCACTTACAGTTAGTGAGTGCAAACATTTTCGTACTTGTTGTTTTTCGTACTTAAACAACATAACAATAATTCCACCTCATTCTGCGAGTACAGAAGTCCAATCTAACTGAGGTGGGTATTTCTAATACGGTCTATAATAATGAATGTTGCTATGTTTGACATTACACTAGACTGTATCATACATCTATGCCAATCTAGAGATTAGCCATATAGAGATGTATCTATATGTGACTCTGTGAACTATTCTATTATCCATGCTCCAGCTCTGGCTCACCTTGGTTATGATCTTGATGTCATCGATCTGGTTCAGGGTGTACTTGTAGCCGTGGGTGTGCTGGCTGTTGAGGTAATCCTGGGCCACCAGGGCTGCAGCTTCCACGTCGGGCGAGTCGCAGGGAGGACGGGTCACGTTATGCAGCAACAACTGGGCCCATGCCCCCGTCAGCAGCCCCAAAACCAAGGCTATACCCAGGTAACTCATCATCGGGTGGGTTAGGACAGGGCGAGAGGATGGAAGTATTGTAGCAGGTAATGAAGGGGGTACACTAGAATAACGACTGAGTCCACATGCCCTGGTATATAGCCTGTACTTTAAACTTCACCACAGAGCTTAAGTAAACACATGTCCACCCCGGACTTCTGTGTAACGTGTGGGTTGTGCAAGAATCCTCAGCCTGAACCCCATGAGGAATATTGCCAAGTTAAATGCTAGACTGACAAAGTCTGGGGTGACCAGGTGCATTGGTGTCAACAGGGAGATGTCAAAGTTTTACTCTTTAGTTCAACTGAGGAAAAAGTCAAGCTTTGATCAAATATGGGATTGGATTGATGTGAATTAAGAAGATGCCATGAAAAGTAATAGTCTAGCAAAACTGTAGCCCAGATCTTCTCTAGATATTTTGTAGCCTGTGTGTTCAGAACATGCAGTAGCTTTACAAGACAACGTAATATACATTGTGATTGATAAGGGACCAGTGTAAATTTCATATCACTAGTATGAAAAATGTATACACTCACTAACTGTAAGTCGCTCTGGATAAGAGCGTCTGCTAAATGACTAGAATGTTAAATGTAAATGAGGTATCACCCTGTATTTCCCTGAAAGGGAGCAAAAGGCCTATAGTCTGGTTCCAGATCTCTCTGTGTAGCCAGGCCCTAGCTCTGTCTTTGCTGTCTTGTGTCTTGCCAATGGTTTGTAAAACAGCATAAACCGATCTGGGACCAGGCTAGCGATGTAAACTACTACCATATTAGATAGGAGAGCCACATCAACAATGACGCAATGACACCTGGTGGATTATATAGGCTCTGCCACTGAGCCAGAGGCAAGCGATTTGCAAGTATGCTGTTGATAGGAGATGATTGGCCTACTACAGAAGGCACAGATCCCTGCCGCACTCACAACAGGCGCAACAGGTAGGCAGGCAAACAAAGGGACAGATCTTACAACGCATGGAAAGGTATTTTAAGTGTCAGCTAACCACATCATATGTTATAGCAATCTATCAGTCGATGACACAGTTGATGACGTAACACGTAACCATTGGTTGATGCATGCAACGTCTCAGCGGGGGAACGTACAGACATCGGCCGAGTTCGAGAGCATCAAAACGAGTGCAGGCGACTGCCGATCAGTCAGTCACAATTTACCCATGATACATTGTGGTTTTGATCCTCTCGAACACGTCCACAGACACAGAGAGCGCGAGAGAATCTGAAACTGAAGTAAAATGTCTAATGTTTGCTGATGATCTGGAGCTTCTGTCACCAACCAAGGAGGGCCTACAGCAGCACCTAGATCATCTGCACAGATTCTGTCAGACCTGGGCCCTGACAGTAAATCTCAGTAAGACAAAAATAATGGTGTTCCAAAAAAGGTCCAGTTGCCAGGACCACAAATACAAATTCCTTCCTGACACCGTTGCCCTAGAGCACACAAACAACTATACATACCTCGGCCTTAACATCAGCGCCACAGGTAACTTCCACAAAGCTGTGAACGATCTGAGAGACAAGGCAAGAAGGGCCTTCTATGCCATCAAAAGGAACATAAAATTCGACATACCAATTAGGATCTGGCTAAAAATACTTGAATCAGTTACAAACCCATTGCCATTTATGGTTGTGAGGTCTGGGGTCCGCTCACCAACCAAGAATTCACAAAATGGGACAAACACCAAATTGAGACTCTGCATGCAGAATTCTGCAGAAATATCCTCAGTGTACAACGAAAAACACCAAATAATGCATGCAGAGCAGAATTAGGCAGATACCCGCTAATGATCAAAATTCAGAAAAGAGCCGTTCAATTCTATAACCACTTAAAAGGAAGCGATTCCCAAACCTTCCATAACAAAGCCATCACCTACAGAGAGATGAACTTGGAGAAGAGTCCCCTAAGCAAGCTGGTCCTGGGGCTCTGTTCACAAACACAAAAAGACCCCACAGAGCCCAAGGACAACAACACAATTAGACCCAACCGAATCATGAGAAAACAAAAAGAGAATTACTTGACACATTGGAAAGAATTAACAAAAACACAGAGAAAACTAGAATGCTACTTGGCCCTAAACAGAGAGTACACAGTGGCAGAATACCTGACCACTGTGACTGACCCAAACTTAAGGAAAGCTTTGACTATGTACATAGTGAGCATAGCCTTGCTATTGAGAAAGGCCGCCGTAGGCAGACCTGGCTCTCAAGCGAAGACAGGCTACGTGCACACTGCCCACAAAATGAGGTGGAAACCATATTAGAGACACATATTTCCCTCAGATTACACAGATCCACAAAGAATTCGAAAACAAACCCAATTTTGATAAACTCCCTTATCTACTGGGTGAAATACCACAGTGTGCCATCACAGCAGCAAGATTTGTGACCTGTTGCCACAAGAAATGGGCAACCAGTGAAGAACAAACACCATTGTAAATACAACCCATATTTATGTTTATTTATCTTCCCATTTGTACTTTAACTATTTGCACATTGTTACAACACTGTATATATACATAATATGACATTTGAAATGTCTTTATTCTTTTGGAACTTCTGAGTGTAATGTTAACTGTTAATATTTATTGTTTATTTCACTTTTGTTTGCTATCTACTTCACTTGCTTTGGCAATGTTAACATACGTTTCCCATGCCAATAAAGCCCTTAAATTGAATTGAATTGAATTGAGAGAGAGAGAGAGAGAGAGAGAGAGAGAGAGAGAGAGAGAGAGAGAGACATGAAAATAACACATACATTGACATGTATGGATGTAAAATGAGAAAAATGGCATAACGTGGCATCTCTCATCCTTCTTTTGCTTTTTCAGAAACCCACGGGCTATATTTGATTGACCATCATTTATTGTATTTGAATCAATCAATGTATTTATTATTATTCAATGTATTCGTCTGATTCTGATTGGTAGCGGTCGTATCTAGTTATCACAGCCACAAAGTCATAATTATGGTTTAACCCCGCCTATGTCTACAATTTATATTTTTGAAATTTGATTTTTAAACCTAACCCTAACCACCCTGCTGACCTTATACATAACCCTACCCTTAAATTAAGACCCATTTTTACTTTGTGGCTGTGGTAACTAGTGACCACGGTAGCCAGTGTCGTGACGTATTCAACGTGCGACCGCGTGCATGAATTCGACACAATCAGTCGTGATATATTCCGTTACAGGCGTCTGGTAGGCCAGGCAAAGAGAGAGTACACGAATGCTAGGTGGTGCAGGTATCGGCTCATTTGGGTAAATACATGTTGCTACATATTTGTGAATTAATTTGAGTCAGGCAAGACAATACTAAACATGCTGACGTCTAATAGTGTGTGCTACATTTTGGTTAGAGAATTTTTTTGCTACACGCTATGGTCCCAAAACCTTTTTGTGTGTTGTTGGAGGCTCTGACATGACACGTGAGGGCTCGCTTCAAACGTGGTTAAAATTAGCTAGCTTGCTAGCATACCGGTAGTTAGGATTCATGGTAGCCAATCAAAACATTGTTGTGCAGTGTGTAACGTGAAGTATAGTCAAATAAGGCTATGTCCTCACTCTGAAATGACAATGCCAGAGAGTAGGTAACACTGTTAGCTAACATAATTGTGTTTAGAAATAGTTTTTGGTTCATTTAGCTATTTTGAAAACAAAACAACATCTAAGGGCATGTTTCGCTCAGCGTGTAGCCCGTCGGCTGAGGAGGCAAAGCAGGGCAAAAGGGAAGGCAAGGGTCATGTCTCTGGTTTTCCTTCATCTGACCCACCTGAAGGCACTGAAATGGGGAGCCAACCCCTGGAGACCTCGACCGATCAGAGTCAATCACTCAAAAGCTGTGAGTTCTCAGCCGTCCAATCAAACTCAAGGCTAGAGCTATTAGTCCCGCCCCCACTCAAGAGCAGGAAAAAGCACAAACCTAAAATGGAGCCTTCCATCATCTATGCTCCAGTCCTCCCTAGTGTAGCTATTGGCAACCATGGGCTTGAACCTGACTCTGAGTGCGTCCCTCCCACAGACAACACTCAAGCAAATCTGAGATCAGATCTAAAGCAGATCTCTGTGTCGCATACCAGTTCTGACCTGTCCCTGAGTCATTCCCCCTCCATGCACTCCCCTTACTCTCCCTCCACAGTGCACATCAATAGACAGCCCCTCCCAGTCACACACGGCTCTTACCTCTGCTGCAGCCCTGTGGCACAGGTCTACGACCCATACCCAACCCGTATTAGACCCACAAAGCGTAGACAATGCCGGAGAAAGGACCTAAGGGGCCTAAAGCTCACCGTAAAAGGAGTCTCCCCTCTCTCCATGCGACACAAGAGGCACTCACGGCGCTGGTGTAACATCCAGTTCTGGTGCCAGGCGTGGCGGAAGTGGGGGCACAGGAAGTGGCGGAGAGCCAGGTGTCTCCTCTGGGTCTCCATGATCAGAGCTAAAAGACTGGAGAAAACCAGGAGGTTCCTCCTGTCTATTGCGAACACACAGACGTCAAATAAATACACTGGGGAATTGGAGGGAAGCCAGAAATGGAAGAAGGTAGGAGAGGGAAGAGAAGTGGTCACTACTGCCATTGGATGTGATGGTCAAGGCCTGGACAGTGCAGAGGACAGCCAGGCAAGTTCAAATTGCATTACACCAACATAGCAGTCAATACAAAGTCCATGAGCACATATCAAGTCCATTTATATGCTCAGGCCTATCCAAAAACATGTATAAATCAATAAAAGGACAATACAAGGGACCTATACTGACAGCAATAACATCTAAAATAGCTAAATACAGTTTACTTATTCAGGCAAAGGGGTGCTCGGACCAGAAGGTGTGTCTGTCTGTGGGCACATCAGTTCTGTGTGGCAACCCTGTCGAGGAGGAGGACCAGGGCATAGTCAGAGCTGGGGATGACCCCCCCTAGTCATTGCGACAAACAGACTCCAATAATACACCTGGAGCAGGGAGCCAATGAAGAAGTGGAGAGGAAACGAAGTATCATGTACTGTCCTTAATGTAAATGGTCCTAAGGCCTGGAGTGCCAAGTCTCCTCGAAGTTCAAATTGCTTCATTGAATACAATTTCAGTCAATACAAAGCTATGAGCACTACAAGAGCTTTATATGCCTCAGGGCAATCCAAAAACATGGTTTAGATCACTTAAAATACAATACAGGGACCTACTGGACAGCACATGCACATCCTCCATAGCTAAATACGTTCTTATTTTCAGCCCAACTCTAGAGATCTCGTACCGAGGTTTCAGTCACCTTGCACAATCAGTTCTGTGTTGGCAACCCTTCGAGAGGAACCGTCTGTAGGTTTCAGCCCACCGCTCCTAAATCACCGTTGGCGTACCAACCACCTTCCTAAATCCACCGTCCTGTGGGTTCACCCACCCTCTTCCTAGAGATCTAGCTGAGGTAGCCAACACACTCATCCTGGATCTCCGTCTTGTTTTCACTCAACTTTAAAAATTGTCCTTAGGCTGTTGAGTCCAATGCTTCTTTCTCCGTCCGTAGAGTTTCTTCCCCTGCTTCTAGTGAACGTCGAGGTTTCATCCATAGCGCGCTGTCCTGAGGCTACCTCCTAGGTTCAGTCTGACCTCCTTCCTAAGGAATACAACAGTCTGTACAGGTTTTAGTCCCACCTCCTTAGATTACCATATGAGTTTAGTAGCCCTACTTTAGAAACTAGTCAGGCTGCCCAACCCTCCTTCCTAGAGATCTACCGTCCTGTAGGGTTTTCAGTCCGAACGCCTCTTCCTAGAGATCGAACCCGTCCTGTAGGTTTTCAGTCCTACCCCTCTTCCCTAGAGATTCTACCGTCCTGTAGTGTTTTCAGTCCTACCCTCTTCTAGAGATTCTAACGTCCCTGTTTCAGTCCAACCCTCTTCCTAGAGATCTAACCGTCGCCTGTAGGTTTTCAGTCCAACTGTAAATTTAGCACACCTGATTCTATTTATTATCTGTTTATTCTCTGCTCACCAAGCTGAATCAGGTATTTTAGGTTAGGGTTGGACTGAAAACCTACAGGACTATAGATCTCCAGGAAGAGGGTTGGACTGCCCTGCTCTAGGCCCTAGCTATATCTTATATCTCTGGCTCTGGACAACTCTAGACCCTAGGTATAACCTATAACTAAGGCCCCTCCTGTTGAGGTCACATGGTCAAGGAAAAACACAGGGCTCTAGGAATTATGAGGCTCTCTACTAAACAACAAAACAATGTTCTGTTCTGCCCTCTTTCATAGGAAGTCTTTCATCTCTGCAGTAGTAATGAAGTACCAGGCTGTCCTAGCGCATAGACTGATGCCCGCTTTCCGAGTGGTCTACAACAAGCACGCTCTGACTCTGGAAGATTTGTCTACGCTGGACCATCAGAACTGGCTCAATGACCAGGTTGGTGCCTTTGACCCAAATCAACCAATTTCACCATGATAGATGTCCATAGATCGATATATATCCATAGACGATATACTGTATGTCCGTAGACTGATATATAGTGATATAAACAGTCCTGAATCAGTCATGAATAATGTTGAGTGAGAAAGTTAGACGCACAAAAATCATACCCCCAAGACATGCTAACCTCTCACCATTACAATAACAGGGGATGTTAGCATTGTTTTGGGGGTATGATATTTGTATTTTTGTGCATTTAACTTTCTCACTCATCCTTATTCACGATTCATTCAGGATTATCCTTAATAATGTTAGCATTCACATTAATGTAGAAGTGTTTAGAAACATATTCTATTCTTATTTACAATAAAAGTGACTCCACAATGACACTACATTATTTACCATTCAGTTCTAATGGGCACATAATTATCTGAAACACAACCAAAACAAACAGCAAATGCATCCAACAAGTTTGTAGAGTCACAAGCTTGATGTAATCATTGCTTGCTAGGAATATGGGACCAAATACTAAACTTTTAACTATAATACACATAAGTGAATTTGTCCCAATACTTTTGTTCCCTTAAAATGGGGCGATATGTACTAAAAGTGCTGTAATTTCTAAACGGTTAATGACAATACCCTCAAATTATATTTAGCCATTGTATCATTTCAAATTCAAGGTGCTAGAGTACAGAGCCAAAACAACAAAATGTGTCACTGTTCCAATACTTTTGGAGCGCACTGTTGTTGGAGTTTTGTTCTGACCACGTGACCTGATCAAGAAAAACTGAAGTCCCGTTCATGTGGTCAGGATCAGAAAAGCTTCTTGGCCCTGCGTAGTCTGGTGCGTAGTCTGGTGCGTAGTCTGGTGCGTAGTCTGGTGCGTAGTCTGGTGCGTAGTCTGGTGCTAGTCTGGTGCTATCCGTGCGTAGTCGGTGCGTAGTCCTGGTGCGTAGTCCTGGTGCGTAGTCTGTGCGTAGTCTGGCTGCTGTGCAGTCCGGTGCGTAGTCCTAGGTCTAGCGTAGTCTGGTGCGTAGTCTGTGTGCGTAGTCTGGTGCGTAGTCTGGTGCGTAGTCTGGTGCGTAGTCTGGTGCGTAGTCTGGTGCGTAGTCTGGTGCGTAGTCTGGTGCGTAGTCTGGTGCGTAGTCTGTGCGTAGTCTAGTGCGTAGTCTGGTGCGTAGTCTGTGCGTAGTCTGGTGCGTAGTCTGTGCGTAGTCGGTGCGTAGTCTGGTGCGTAGTCTGTGCGTAGTCTGGTGCGTAGTCTAGTGCTGTGGCTAGTCTGGTAGTCTGTCGTAGTCTGTGCGTAGTCTGGTGCGTAGTCTGAGTGCGTAGTCTAGTGCGTAGTCCTAGTGCGTAGTCTGTGCGTAGTCTAGTGCGTAGTCTGGTGCGTAGTCTGGTGCGTAGTCCTGGTGCGTAGTCTGTGCGTAGTCTGGTGCGTAGTCTGGTGCGTAGTCTGGTGCGTAGTCTGTGCGTAGTCTGGTGCGTAGTCTGGTGCGTAGTCTGGTGCGTAGTCCGGTGCGTAGTCTAGTGCGTAGTCCGGTGCGTAGTCTGGTGCGTAGTCTGGTGCGTAGTCTGGTGCGTAGTCTGGTGCGTAGTCCGGTGCGTAGTCCGGTGCGTAGTCCGGTGCGTAGTCTGTGCGTAGTCTGGTGCGTAGTCTGGTGCGTAGTCCGGTGCGTAGTCGGTGCGTAGTCGTGCGTAGTCTGGTGCGTAGTCTGGTGCGTAGTCTGGTGCGTAGTCTGTGCGTAGTCTGGTGCGTAGTCTGTGGCGTAGTCCGGTGCGTAGTCTGGTGCGTAGTCTGGTGCGTAGTCTAGTGCGTAGTCTGGTGCGTAGTCCGGTGCGTAGTCTAGTGCGTAGTCCGGTGCGTAGTCTAGTGCGTAGTCTAGTGCGTAGTCTGGTGCGTAGTCTGGTGCGTAGTCCGGTGCGTAGTCTGGTGCGTAGTCTGGTGCGTAGTCTGGTGCGTAGTCTGGTGCGTAGTCTGGTGCGTAGTCTGGTGCGTAGTCTGGCGCGTAGTCTGGTGCGTAGTCTGGTGCGTAGTCTGGCGCGTAGTCTGGCGCGTAGTCTGGTGCGTAGTCTGGTGCGTAGTCCGGTGCGTAGTCTGGTGCGTCATCAGTCCAAAGTTAACTTGCTCAATGTGATGTACATATGTTGTGTGACCCTGTTTGAACTTATTTTGTGGTTTACTCTTGAAGGTCATGAATATGTATGGAGAATTAATCATGGAGTCTGCACAACACAAGGTAGGTTTTTATTTCCCATTATATTTCCTCAATTCTATCAAGAAATATTCATAATGTATTATAATGACGTATTACATTATAATAATGTAATAATGAGTCTGATCACAGAGGTGTAGAAATTCTACAATAGCCTGAGTCATGATGCAATGGGAGCAACTTTTGACTGTCGTCCCTCCATTTGATGCATGTGGTCTTGGTTCCTGAATGTGATATTTTTATTTTTTTACTTGTCTAGGTCCATTTCTTTAACAGCTTCTTCCACCGACAGCTCATGACCAAAGGATATGAAGGGGTGAAGAGGTGGACCAAGAAGGTAAATGCTGAACCTGAGATTGTGAAACTTTGTTTTGACCTTTCGGATGTCACCCAAAAGCTTCTGATAATTATTGGCGATGGGGTCAATTCTATTTCAATTCAGGAGATTCATTGTGATGTAAATCAAATTTCAATTCACTTTCCTGAATTGATGGAAATGGAATTGACCCCAACTCGGACCAGGGTGGTTCATTTTTGCTTTCCATTGCAAAACGTTTTCTAAAATGTTCCGTATTCTAATGAACACGACCCCTGTTTCATGCCGTACAAACCGTTTTCTACCCTACTGAACACATCCCTGGCTTCTGGTCCCCTGTGTCCTGCAGGTGGATCTCTTCTCCAAGGCTCTGCTGCTGGTGCCCATCCACCTGGAGATCCACTGGTGCCTGGTGACGGTCGACACCGCCAGCAAGAGGATCCACCTCTACGACTCCCAGGGCATCGTGTTCAAGGAAGCTGCCGAGGTAACGTTGACAGAACTTTTAGTGATTTAACCTTTGTTTATACAGGTTATTCTCATTGAGATCAAATCTCTGTCACAGAAGAGACCTCACAACTGATGCTTCCTTACACCAGCTTCTGTGTGTCAGATCTCATTGGTGGTAGGAAGACTCAAGCATATTTTAGTAGGATGAACATGAAAATGCTTTGTTTTATTTTTGCTATGACGTGCTACTGTGGATAAATATCTCACTTGACTGAAAGGAATGATTTAATTTCATCCATACCCTTGCCCTGAACATTGTGGAATGGCTTAACCAGTAGTGAATGTGTCCATATTCAATACAGAATACACATTCCAGGGGTGTAAACGTTGAAACAAAATTGGGATCCTTAACATTTAAGAAAAATCCTTAACTGAAAAATTAGTTTTTTTTTGTTTTTTTCCGCCACAGAATTAAAATCACAGTGCATTTTTCACAAAACATATTATTTTCCGTGTTATAGCCTAACTAGACTATATGGCTATAAAGACCTGGGGAAAGTTGAAATAAAAACAAGAAAGGAAGAGGCGAACTTTAGGCTACTTTGGTGAATTTGCGAGGCATGCAAGACAAGATATTGCGAGATACAGACATATCCGCACGGTACTGCCTACCCCTCCTCTCCCTCCCTCACGTTGGCCTGCCTGCCCCCTCCTCTCTCTCCCTCACGCTGGCCTGCCTGCCCCCCTCCTCTCTCTCCCTCACGCTGGCCTGCCTGCCCCCTCCTCTCTCTCCCTCACGCTGGCCTGCCTGCCCCCTCCTCTCTCTCCCTCACGCTGGCCTGCCTGCCCCTCCTCTCTCCCTCACCTGGCCTGCCTGCCCCCTCCTCTCTCTCCCTTCACCTGGCCTGCCTGCCCCCTCCTCTCTCTCCCTCACACTGGCCTGCCTGCTCCCCTCCTCTCTCTCCTCACACTGGCCTGCCTGCTCCCTCTCTCTCTCCCTCACACTGGCCTGCCTGCCCCCTCCTCTCTCTCCCTCACGCTGGCCTGCCTGCCCCCTCCTCTCTCTCCCTCACGCTGGCCTGCCTGCCCCCCCTCTCTCCCTCACCTGGCCTCCTGCCCCCTCCTCTCTCCCTCACCTGGCCTGCCTGCCCCCTCCTCTCTCTCCCTCACGCTGGCCTGCCTGCCCCCTCCTCTCTCTCCCTCACGCTGGCCTGCCTGCCCCCTCCTCTCTCTCCCTCACGCTGGCCTGCCTGCCCCCTCCTCTCTCTCCCTCACGCTGGCCTGCCTGCCCCCTCCTCTCTCTCCCTCACGCTGGCCTGCCTTGCCCCTCCTCTCTCTCCCTCACGCTGGCCTGCCTGCCCCCTCCTCTCTCTCCCTCACGCTGGCCTGCCTTCCCCCTCCTCTCTCTCCCTCACGCTGGCCTGCCTGCCTGCCCCCTCCTCTCTCTCCCTCACGCTGGCCTGCCTGCCTGCCCCCTCCTCTCTCTCCCTCACGCTGGCCTGCCTGCCTCCCCCTCCTCTCTCTCCCTCACGCTGGCCTGCCTGCCCCCCTCTCTCTCCCTCACGCTGGCCTGCCTGCCCCCTCCTCTTCTCTAGTGATGCCAGTGTGTGTTCAGTCTTCGGACTGTTGCATGTGGAATATCCTAGCCTATTCATTAATGACAGGCCCTGCTTTACTTTAGTGAGACATTGCTAGCCAAGAAATTGCGAGATAACAAGGTCTAGTGCACGGTTCTGACTCTGTTTGCCTGGTGGCCGACCTGCCTATACTGTGCCCCTCCCCTCTCTCTCCGTCGCTCGCTATGACAGATGCAAGTGTTTGTTCTCGGAAGTAAGGTAACTAATCAGTCTCCTCCATTCCAAAAATACCAATCTTAGGAGTCGATTCCTAGCGGAATCGAATCTTAACACAAATAAATGGGCGTTGACATGCAGGAGTCGAGGAAGCAATTCTTTTGGAGTCGACTCTCCACCACTACAGTAGGAAAAATGGCAGAGAAAGGCCAGCGACAGCAGCCAGGTCCTGTATGGCAATGCTTTGACAAGTTAAATGAGAAGGTGGGGAAATGCAAACTTTGCGAGGGGGAATCGAGGTACAGTAATGGTAGTACAGGTGCAATGCTTAACCATCCGAAAGGGACGCACCGTGAGACCCAAGCTGTTGCTGGCAGCAGCGCAGTTGCATTGTGAATTCATGTGGAATGTTATGAATTTTCTTAGCGTTGGAAAACAATAAAAACATTGCTGTTTAAAAGTTTTGTCACATCCCTAATACATTCATATTTAATCATAGCTTAATTAAGTTGTTACTTGCTACGTAAGATTTCACAGACTGACTTTACACAATCAAATCCAATTTCCAATCAGCAAGATGCTATTTCACCTGATTTAGCATAGAAGAAATCAACATTTCTCTTGTCCCCCCCCCCCCCCCCCCCCCTTTCCATTCTATAGAATGTGTTAAGGTACATAAAGACGGAAGCGAGGGAGAGGATGCAAACTGCATTTCAAAGTGGCTGGAAGATGTATATCAACGAGGTATGATGCATTGAGCTATGTGTGTGTGGATCTTTGAAATCGTGAGTTTGAATGTTTGCTTGATTATTTTTTTAACACAATAGAACAAAATACTTTAAGGGATTGCCTGCAGAAATCCTGCCAAACATGCCATTGAAATGTAGCCCATGATGATCACTGTTTTGGGTGTATGTCTCTCTCTATTGATTTTTTTGCAGCGAATACCACAACAGACAAATGAAAACGACTGTGGAGTTTTTGTGTTAGAGGTACCAGCATGTTTTCATAATCCTTGATTAATTGAATGGTCTACTTTTATCATCATGTACCTCTGTGTCAGTGCAGTCTTAATAAAGTATTACTTTCTGTCTCACTCACTCACACCACCCTGTTCATTCATGTACCTTTCTCTCAGTACTGCAGGTGCCTTGCTTTGGGGAAACCACTGCAATTCTCCCAAGGGGACATGCCGACGGTGCGTAAGAGAATCTACAGAGAGCTCTGTGAATGCAAGCTCCAGGAATTACAAAATTGACCTTTCACCTTTTCCTTTACACTCCTCCTCCGAAACCATCCTCACGCACCTCACCGGGGTCATAGTCATTAGAGTACACTTAAAAAAAAGTAGAGATTGTCCTGTCTTTCAAGAATCCTTGAGCCATAGAAAGGGGGGGGGGGTCTTCCGTTTGTTTGGACCTTGTCATTGTGTTAGCTGCTATGTTTCATTAATGGAGAAGCATCTCCACCCCATATTCTGACAGCCTGTCATTTCGAGCAGCATGGTAGCAGACTGACTAGCTGCCATTTATTTTAGATGATGGTGTATCAGGGTGTTACCAAATATGTTTTGATCAGTCTGTAATGACAGCAGACTAGTTGGTCTCCTAGATGTTGACATTTTAATTTGATGAAGAACTGGTATGAACTTGGTACTTGCTGTCTTAACAAAGTCCGAGGCAATCTATATACGTGTGTCCACAGTTTTTCAATGGTTATTGCATTATTCTACATGAGTTTAGATTATTGTTGAAGGCGGCGGACCGTATTACTAGCAACTTACCATTGAATGTATTGAACATACTGAATGTATTCAATGTAGTTTTTGCTCACACTTTCGTTAGAAGTTTCTGTTTTAGACGTTTCTGTATGGGTCAAATTTCATTTTTTTGCATTGGATAAATTGCTTTCATTTAAATGTAAACTGTTGTCCCTTTGTCAGTTAGATTTGCAATTTACACTACCGTTCAAAAGTTTGGGGTCACTTAGAAATGTCCTTGTTTTCGAAAGAAAAGCAATTTTTTTTTGTCCATTAAAATAACATCAAATTGATTAGAAATACAGTGTAGACATTGTTAATGTTGTAAATGGCTATTGTAGCTGGAAACGGCTGATTTTTAATGGAATATCTACATAGGCATACAGAGGCCCATTATCAGCAACCATCAGTCCTGTGTTCTAATGGCACGTTGAGTTTGCTAATCCAAGTTTATCATTTTAAAAGGCTAATTGATCATTAGAAAACCCTTTTGCAATTATGTTAGCACAGCTGAAAACTGTTGTGCTGATTAAAGAAGAAATAAAACTGGCCTTCTTGAGACTAGTTGAGTATCTGGAGCATCAGCGATTGTGGGTTCGATTACAGGCTCAAAATGGCCAGAAACAAAGAACTTTCTTCTGAAACTCGTCAGTCTATTCTTGTTCTGAGAAATGAAGGCTATTCCATGCGAGAAATTGCCAAGAAACTGAAGATCTTGTACAACGCTGTGTACTACTCCCTTCACAGAAAAGCGCAAACTGGCTCTAACCAGAATAGAAAGATTAGTGGGAGGCCCCGGTGCACAACTGAGCAAGAGGACAAATACATTAGTGTCTAGTTTGAGAAACAGGCGCCTCACAGGTCCTCAACTGGCAGCTTCATTAAATAGTACCCGCAAAACACCAGTCTCAACATCAACAGTGAAGAGGCGACTCCAGGATGCTGACCTTCTAGGCATAGTTGCAAAGAAAAATCCATATCTCAGCCCACCTTAATCTTTTATTTTTATTGGCCAGTCTGAGATATGGCTTTTTCTTTGCAACTCTGCCTAGAAGGTCAGCATCCCGGAGTCGCCTGTTCACTGTTGACATTGAGACTGGTGTTTTGCGGGCCGGGTACTATTTAATGAAGCTGCCAGTTGAGGCATCTGTTTCTCAAACTAGACACTCTAATGCAGGGTTCTTCAATTCCGGTCCTGGAGGGCCGAAACACTTCTGTTTTTTATTTCTACCTGGTAGTTAATTGCACTCACCTGGTGTCCCAGGTCTGAATTAGCCCCTGATTAGAAGGAGAGGATGAAAAACAGAGGTGTTTCGGCCCTCCAGGACCGGAATTGAAGAACCCTGCTCTAATGTATTTGTCCTCTTGCTCAGTTGTGCATCGGGGCATGGAATAGTCTTAATTTCTCAGAACAAGAATAGACTGACGAGATTCAGAAGAAAGTTCTTTGTTTCTGGCCATTTTGAGCCTGTAATCGAACCCACAATTGCGGATGCTCCAGATACTCAACTAGTCTCAAGAAGGCCAGTTGTATTGCTTCTTTAATCAGCACAACAGTTTTCAGTTGTGCTAACATAATTGCAAAACGGTTTTCTAACGATCAATTAGCCTTTTAAAATGATAAACTTGGATTAGCAAACACAACGTGCCATTGGAACACAGGACTGATAGTTGCTGATAATGGGCCTCTGTACGCCCACGTAGATATTCCATTAAAAATCAGCCGTTTCCAGCTGCAATAGCCATTTACAACATTAACAATGTCTACACTGTATTTCTGATCAATTTGATGTTATTTTAATGGACATCAAAATTGCTTTTCTTTCGAAAACAAGGACATTTCTAAGTGACCTCAAACTTTGAACAGTAGTGTACCTTTAAGACTTAAGTTTTACTATTATGTCATGTCTCTATCTCCCGGAGGCTCAGTTCTGTAACAGGTCAGCAGGAGGTTAATGTGGATCAGGTTTTGATTCATTAAAAAGTAAATCAGGGTCCGTATTCATAAAGCGTGTTAAGGTAGGAGTGCTCTGAGACGCTGTGAGAATACGGGCGGAAGGATACGGAATGTTTTTTGTTGTCTTTGACACCTTACTCTTAAGAAGGAAGTAATCTGGAATATTGAACAAAGTTATTTTTCGGTTATTGTAAAGTATATGTACATAGTAATGTTAAAGTAACATAAAATAAGTTTGATTTAGAGCCACTGTCTGCATTATTTTACTAAATGTATTGTACATATTTTCATTTAACAGATTAGATATGTATGTTGTGATTATGGATTATGGCAAGATATGTGTATATATACACACAAGCTATAAAAAAATTTATGTACACTCATTACATTAAACAACATACAATATTGTAGAACTAAAATATGAGTTCAGCAAAAACATTCTGGTTGTTAGGCACACAAATTGCCTTCTACCATGATGGGCTTTCAGTATGAAAGTCAGATTTATATGGATATACAGTGCCTTGCAAAAGTATTCATACCTCTTGGATTTCTTCATATTTTATTTGGTTATAAAGTGGGATTAAAATATATTTAATTGTAGTTTTTTGTCAGCAATCTACTCAAAATACTGTGGAAGAGATTAAAAAAAAAAAAAAAAGATTTAATATAGATTAGATAACTACAATTGTTTAAAAAAATTTTTTTAAATATAGTCGTTGCATAACTATTCAGCCCCTTTATTCAGGCAAGCTTAATTTAGTTCAGGAGTAACATTTGTCTTAACAAATCACATAAGTTACATGGACTATAATAGGGGTTGACATGATTTTTTAATGACTATCCCTTCCACTGTCCCCCATACATACAGTTGAAGTTGGAAGTTTACATACACCTTAGCCAAATACATTTAAACTCTGTTTTTCACAATTCCCGACATTTAATCCTAGTAACAATTTCCTGTTTTAGGGTCAGTTAGGATCACCACTTTATTTTAAGAATGTGAAATGTCAGAATAATTGTAGAGAGAATGATTTATTTCAGCTTTTATTTATTTCATCACATTCCCAGCGGGTCAGAAGTTTACATACACTCAATTAGTATTTGGAAGCATTGCCTTCAAATTGTTTAACTTGGGTCAAACATTTTGGGTAGCCTTCCACAAGCTTCCCACAATAAGTTGGGTGAATTTTGGCCCATTCCTCCTGGCAGAGCTGGTGTAACTGAGTCAGGTTTGTAGGCCTCCTTGCTCGCAAACGCTTTTTCTATAGGATTGAGGTCAGGGCTTTGTGATGGCCACTCCAATACCTTGACTTTGTTGTCCTTAACCTTAAGAGATGTTGCTTCAATATATCCACATCATTTTCCTTCCTCATGATGCCATCTATTTTGTGAAGTGCACCAGTCCCTCCATGATGCTGCCACCCCCGTGCTTCACGGTTGGGATGGTGTTCTTCGGCTTGCAAGCGACCCCCTTTTTCCTCCAAAAATAACGATGGTCATTATGGCCAAACAGTTATATTTTTGTTTCATCAGACCAGAGGACATTTCTCCAAAAAGTAAGATCTTTGTCCCTATGTGCAGTTGCAAACCGTAGTCTGTCTTTTTAATGGCGGTTTTGGAGCAGTGGCTTCTTCCTTGCTGAGTGGCCTTTCAGGTTATGTCGATATAGGACTAGTTTTACTGTGGATATAGATAGTTTTTACCTGTTTCCTCCAGCATCTTCACAAGGTCCTTTGCTGTTGTTCTGGGATTCATTTGCACTTTTCGCATCAAAGTACGTTAATCTCTAGGAGACAGAATGCGTCTCCTTCCTGAGCGGTATGACGGCTGCGTGGTCCCATGGTGTTTATACTTGCGTGTTATTGTTTGTACAGATGAACGTTATACCTTCAGGCGTTTGTAAATTGCTCCCAAGGATGAACCAGACTTGTGGAGGTGTACAATTGTTTTTCTCAGGTCTTGGCTGATTTCTTTTGATTTTCCCATGATGTCAAGCAAAGAGGCACTGAGTTTGAAGGTAGGCCTTGAAATACATCCACAGGTACACCTCCAATTGACTCAAATGATGTCAATTAGCCTATCAGAAGCTTCTAAAGCCATTACATAATTTTCTGGAATTTTCCAAGCTGTTAAAAGGCACAGTCAACTTAGTGTATGTAAACTTCTGACCCACTGGAATTGTGATACAGTGAATTATAAGTGAAATAATCTGTAAACAATTGTTGGAAAAATTACTTGTGTCATGCACAAAGTAGATGTCCTAACCGACTTGTCAAAACTATAGTTTGTTAACAAGAAATTTGTGGAGTGGTTGAAAAACGAGTTTTAATGTATGTAAACTTCCGACTTCAACTGTACATACATCTGTAAGGTCCCCTCATTCAAGTGTTTAATTTCAAGCACAGATTCAGCTACAACGACCAGGGAGCTTTTCAAAAGCCTATTGAAGAAGAGCAGGGATTGGTAGATGGGTAACGATAATAAATCAGACATGAAATATATCTTTAAGCATGGTCAAGTTAATAATTGTGCTGTGGGTGATGTATTAAACCACCCAAACACATCAAAGATACAGTCGTCTTTCTGAACTCCACTGCAGGACAGGAAGGAAACTACTTAGGGATGTCATCATGAGGCCATTGGGGATTTTAAAACACAGAGTTCAATGGCTGTGATGGGAGAAA